TAAACAGCTTTAGGACTTCAGTTGCGTTTACTCTTTCGATAAAGTTAAAGCAAGTCAACAAACGTCTGTGCCTTCATGTGATTCTTATTTCCCACTGTGGCCTTTAGTGAAACTGAGGTTGACACCCCTTGTAAACTGTTACACATTCCCTCAGCTATGAAGTTCACATCTTGTCGCTTTCATTCATCAGTTAAAATCTCTTTTTGTTTTATCCCTCAGGGCACTATTTGTGTTATCATGTCACAGTCTCCAGTGAGTGTGATGGTGTTTTTCTGAGAGAAACACTAGAACGAGTGACAAGAGCAAGTCTGATGGCTGCCATTTGAAACTCTTGCACTTGCGTTCTGTGCGTTACTGCATGGTGATGCACATGCATCAACTTGCACAAGTGTTTGGAAGTGCACGTCTCCATTCTGTTTCATGACAGATGTCTCAAAACCGAGCAGGGTTTACGTTGCCAAAGTCACGTTGCCATGTTTATCTGCAGTATATGTTTAAGGTTGTTGTGACTGTGGAGCTGTTGCTTTCGGTGCAGTTTGTTTCTCCAAGTTTTAGCAACAAAACATGTTGTGTTTGTAGCTTCTCAACCGCTCCGTATGTGCTGATTTTGCAAAAATGACGTCCGTCTGCTCCCAAACAACTAACATGTCTGAACGGAAAAGCTTTTGGATGTTTGTTTCTCAAGGATCCGCTTGTATATAGTTTGTACCGTTCAGCTTTGTTTATATAATTAATAGAAAAAAATAACTTGATCTGAATCCAGCCATCATAAGCCATCATTTCCAAATCTCGGCTTTCATGAATCGAATCCACTTTGAGGTTTTAGAACTAAAAGCTGGCATGCCCCAAAAACAGACCATGTTGGAGTCTTGAGCTGGCAAAGCAGGAGCAAGTAGGGGGAAGAAGCTGGAGTAACTGGTGGCGAGTGGACGGGCACATGAACGGTGTTGTTTTGGTGTGAGACTGGAGCGGGCAGTGAGCTGTGAAGAAGGACGGAGCCAAGTTACAACTAAGAAAATCTTTATAAAAGGGCCAGGAGTCGCTACCACACCGGTGATGCAAACAGTTTGGCAGGAAGTGAGTGAAAGGAATATAAACACTGCAGCTTGATGAGTACTTGATTGAAGACATGTGCGGCAGTCCTGGTGCCGGTGGGAGAAAGCCACACCCAGGGCTGCACACAAACACTAGCCTACCTTCTCAGATTGTGCATCCTTGATTCCTTTCCTCACCTCATCTCCACGTGTGTTAATCCCTCTCATCAAAGTAGTGGAAGAGATGCAAGAAGAGAGGAGTCGAGCTTTAACACGTTTCACAAAACGAATTGTGCTAGCTTCAGAGACATCATTTTAAAGTGATTCAGGTGAATCTATTAAATGTGACGTGTGGCTCATCTACACCATCTAGTAGCGCTGCTCATGTCTGAATATAATTAGGCCTGCCGTGAATGAAATTCACAGCGTGGCTAATTGTGACAAGAAGATTGAGCTATGATATATTCCTGTTCTTAATTTATAAAACACACATATGGCCTAGACACACAAACAGTGAAGGGCAGACAGTTTGATTACACAGCTCATCATCTTAAATACCTAAAACAGCTCATGAATACATATCTGCAGCGTCCCCCTCCCACCGGGGGTTTTATTTGAGATGCAGCTTTTTCCATTTGCAATACGATACAGATGCCTTGCCTTCAAGTATCAGTCAATACTAGTGCTGAACCAGTTCCAGTGGTAATTTAATGAGTTGTGAAATATTGTTAGGAGTTAGGAGATACTCTAACAATGTATCCATAGTTTGTGTATATTCTGCAAAGGGTGTTATCCTTGAGGATGGCACGCTGAGACTGATTTCTGGCTGGACACGGCACGCAAGAGGATAGAGAAAAGAAACAAAGCTCGTGAACATAGAAAAGGAGAAGAGAGAGAGACAGAGGCAAAAAAGTAGGGCAGCACTGCAGGCATGGGCTGCATAGCAGGGTACAGCAGTACCTCTTTTACTTTAGATCAATATTTCATGTTGTGTTCTTTAATAAAGCAAACAAATAAAATAGAAATGATCCTGTGAAGTCTCAATAAAAACACATTAAGCCACCTGTTGGGTGAACACCACATGAATAAAACATTTCTGTCCGTGAATGATGGATGGAGCAATATGATTCAAATCAAAGACATTTATTTCTCCCTACAGATGGCCTCCCTGGAACAGCGCCCCTAGCGCTTTCCCCCGTGCTCAGAACAGCACAACCCCTGGCATCCTTGGCGACCCCTACCACGCCGACGCCAGCACCTGCGGCCTCGCTGACAGTGCCGAGCAGCACGGCGGCCGCAGCCCCGGAGACTACCTCAGCCGCTGGGGGAGACGAGGGGCACTCGAAGCTAAATTCCCCGTCAGAACCCGACCTCCCGGAGCCCGACGCCGAACCCGAAGCGGAGACGGACGCAGAAACGGAGGAGGAGAAAGCTCGTCGGCTTCTCTACTGCTCCCTCTGCAAAGTGGCAGTCAACTCGGCGTCACAGCTGGAGGCTCACAATAGCGGTGAGAGACGTGTGCCAAGATTTGCCGCAAATTTTTTTCCCCAAACATGAAACAAAACAACAAAAGTAAGGTTGGCTCTGCTGTACGAATGACGTGTTTACCTGCTGGTTGTGTTTTTCTCAGTGAACACGGACTCCGCATGATTGTTTCATTCCATGTTGTGCAATTTCCATGACAGCATCTGTGTTGAAATTATTTTTTCAGTGAGTCAGTGCTTTTTGTGGGGAAGGTTGTTATCTGCTGGGTTCCTCCAGTGTTCAAGCGTTTGTTTGTCGTTATTGTAGAGTTACCTCCGCTGTCTTCAGCAATCATTGAAAAAACACAATTCTTCAATTATCCTTCGGTAGTTTCCATAGGAACCTTTTATCAAACTTTAATCAGGTATTGTGAGACATCCTTGCTT